AGCTGCCTCTCGCCCCGCCCCGCCCGGCCGTTGGCGGCCTCTCGCCCCGGGACGGGCCTGGGCCTGGTGCCGCCTGGGCGCACCGAACGTGGAAGTTTCTGGTCTAAGCGCGTACGTCTGGGTTACCAGAGCTGGCTGGGGACAATGGCGTCGCCCGCGCTCGCTTGTAACCGTGCCGAAGCGGAAGGCGTCAGACCCGGTGCCTTCGGCTGACGCGCCGCTGGCAGCGCCTCGGGGTCCCCCACTCGGTGGCCGCCCTGTCAGGGCACCGGCCTGCTCACCGCCGCGCCGACAGGGGGTCGGGCCAGCAGGGTAGCTCACCTGTTGCCGATAACGCCTAACCGCAGATTTCTAGCAGGGTGTGTGGTACGTGTCCTGTTGTGAACAGGCCTCTGGGTTCTCTCCCAATGACAAACAGGTGGGTTTCCTGAGCCAGAGATTGCATTCAGGTGACCATAAACACTAATGCCGTCTCCTTTATAACCTTGGCGGTTGCCTTTTTGAACCCATCTGTACTTCTGGGTTGCAAATCATCCTGTGCTCTTGAGTTCCATCGTTCACGGATGGAAAAGGGCATGTCAGCCTTGGCGGGAAGCGCAGTTTGCTGCAGAAACCCTCGGTTGGCAACTGTTTGCCCTATTGTCTGGCTGAAACATCTGAAAAGACATTAAAGGAATTAATCAAAGCATGATTAAAAACCACCTGAGCAAAATGGCAATAAGCACTGACAAATGGTTGGGAGGTGGTTTGGAGGAGCAAGGCGTTTGCAGTGAGGTTTGTTGTAAAACATGGGCCTGTGGCATAGTAGCAACACTGGCCGTAGCAGGAGACGTTGATTTTGCTAGATATCTGCATATGTTATGGAATAATATTTTCAGAGAAGAAAAGATTGCTGAAGAACAGTGAAACTCAGGCCTGATGGGGATGCACCAAAATGGCAACTTGCAGTACTGTGCAGATTATTGCTGGTCTTCAATTCTTGGTTACTTTGCTGATCGTCACCCTGAGAGAAGTCTTGAGTTATTCTTAAAAGTATTGAAAGAAAAAAGAAGAATGATGTGAGGAGGCAACTTAGTTTCTTAAAAATAGAGGAACGGTGTAGGGTTCGGTGCCTTAAGCTACCCGTGAAACAAATACAGAGGTCACAAGGAAGATCTTTTTTTGCCTCAGTTGTCTTACATGGCATGGTGGGCTATGGATGTTTCTAAGACGTGCTGACTAGTATTTTTGAAGAAGCAAGCTTGGCTGTCCTGGTTAAACAGCAGGAAAATGTAGTGGCTCGAGACAGTAAGTGGCAGCAAGCAGCCTCCTGTCACCTTCCTGTTTGCCCTCTGGGATGTATGAAGTTGCAATGGCCAAGTCCTCTGTTTTGATCTCCTTGCCATACGCTTTCACCACCTGCAGCTCAGTGACGACGTCCATCTGACACTGAGGACGATCTGCAGAGTACAGTTAGTGTCTTCCAGGGGGATGTGGGATGATTTGGCCTACGCTACCAGCGTGGACAAGACAAAGATGGTCATCTGCAGGGGGATAAAAGATAGCTGAGGTATATGGCCATTAAGAAGAAGGGAAATTTCTACAGGCAGAAAAATGAGGCTTCTTAAGATCTTTGTGTTCTTGAATCTAGTATATATGGAGGAGACTTCTAGAAGATTGACGTGTAGACAGGTGGCTTTTCAAAACACATTCTTAGGACCAGCGGCTCTCAGCAGTGCATCAGAAATGGGGCTAAGCACGAAAGGGACCGGTGCAGGGGTGGCGCATTGGTGTGGTAACAAGGCGGAAGGAAGCTCCAGTTGTTCGGAAGGTGCCGGGTGAAAGGGCTGCTGTGCTTTTTGACCCGCTGGAGGGAGCTGCCAAGAGCTAGGTATTGCAGAGTGCGGTTAGGTGACCTGACTGAATGAAAAGGTTGAATTCCAAAGATGCCACAAGTTACTAGAAATAGAGCAGAGACTACAGTGGCACATCACCATCTACGTATTAGGGGCCACTTCCTTCCCTCCCCAAAATGAGAACGTCCTTGTACTCACTGGTTGTGAAAAATAAATGAACTAGCCTGGCGGGGATTTTAAATTAACATCTGTAACGCAATGTGGCATTGCAGCGATGAGCACTGGAAAACCTTGTGTTACCCAAGCAGAGCTTGTGTGTTCAGTAACCCATGAGACCGCATCATGCATTCTAAGAAGGAAGCAAATCATGGGATAGTTTTTTGTTATTAGGTGAACAGTCAGTCCTATTCACTAAGCAAGACAGGCATCCAGTGAAAAAAATGGTAATTTATAATCATGTACCATAATGCATACATGCAAGAAACCAAATTAAATCAATCTCGATGCAGTTATTTAAAACACCTACCGAACTTTTGCATTTTTGTAATCGTAAGTGTTCTGTTCATGTGTTTTTATGAGTACAGTATTTATACGTAGTCTCTGAAGAGTATGAAGTGTTATAAGAGTAAAGAGTATTATTTCACAATTTTCATGGAAATTCCACGCCCCTTGATTTCTCTTGCCTGATCCTGACTAAACGAATCTCCATCATATGCTTTTGTTTGTATGACTTTTCCCTTCTTCTGCCTGTGGTCATATATTCTGCGAGTGCAGCAATGTTTGACAGACATGCTAATCCAGCAGATGGTGCTGCGTGTCTGTGTATTTCAGGGGGTTTTTGTTTTCTTTTTTTAACAACAACAGTTATCCACTCCTCAGTTAAAAGGGAAACTATATTTCTTATTCTTAAATACATATATATATACACACAGAAGGTTTTTTTTCCTAAATTATGTGTGTTATTTTTAAAGCTGTTAGAGAAACAGAAGTAATTGTAACATGACAAACTATTTTCCTCTGTTAACATTCCTTTTGGATTGAATTTTCAATTATGCAGACCACTGTGCTCATTTGTTCCAATTACATAAACATAAATGCACTCTTTCTGGCCTTTAAAAGACTTACAGCTCTTCTTATGCCTGTTTAAAAAAAAAATTCATTTTCTGTTTGTTGGTTTACGCCCAAGCTCCTTAAATGGTTGCCCGTGTGAAAATAAAGATTTCAATTATGATTTGCTTTCTAGCAAGTGATACTTTTGTTATCTAAAATACAGGAAAACATTTTTTCGTGACTGGACATCTAAGCCATCTACTGAAAAAAAAGACTCATTTAAAGGGCTATGGGATTATTTGTAACTAAACCAATGTAGCCAGTTAATGTGATTTAATCACTGTTTATAATAAATTTCACATGTGAACCTTTTCCTCCATAAGTTGCAGGGTGTTTGAGAATGGGATGTAATGGGGCACATTGTGTCTTTTCTTTTAGATGGGTGCACTAAGACTGCTAACACAATGGAAGAAGCAAAAATGGGAAGAGAGATTGAGGGGACCACGCAAGTGAGTCTGAGATCAGAGCATGCAGGAAGTCTGAAGGATGGAGAGTCTGGCATCATAATGATTTGTGTATTGACTAAAAATCTGATGTCTTTATTGAAACCTGGATCTCCTGACTTAGGAGAAACACGGTTGCATAAAAAGGAAAATTGCTCCTAATCCAAGTCTGATGTGTTATCAGTTACATATAGGCTATTGCTAACCAGTGAATGATATAAATTGATGCCAATTTTAATATATTGGTCTTAGGAAAAAAAGAGAAATATAAGCCAAAATCAAATACCGCTGTATTGTATAAGTTTGAGGAAGTGTAAATTTGTCACCAGTAGGTTCTCTTTGGCCTGTTCTGTACTTTTTTGCGTAGTTGTGCTGGTGAAGGCTGGACTTGCTGGTACAGTGCTGTGGGCATGGGCTTTTGTGTGGTGGATATGGGTGCAGAGGAGAAAAAACCATCCTTTTGCTGCAATATTCATTTGAAAAATTACTATAAGCCATACCAACAGAGGGTAATTGATTTCACATGTACAACCTGAGTTTTCACTAAGAGACTGCTGGGGTAGCTGTAACAACAAATCCCTTTAAGGAGAGACAAAAGCTTATTTCATGTCGGTGGCAAAGGGTCTGTGCAGCCCCTTTGAGCATCAGCCAACAGAGGGCACTGCAGCCAGCAGTCTGAATGGTGCCCAGTGGGCTAGGATGTACGTTTTCAAAACACTGTTCAGAAAATGTTCATGTAAAACCATTACTAGGTTTTATTTAATAACCTCCTAACCCCCTCTCTCTCTCCTCCTCCTCCCCTGTGTTCCTCTAATGCCTTTTACAGCTCTTGCTGCACAGCGTGAAGCCTTAGAGCTGTATTCATCAGTGACTCACACCCTTGCTTAGGGGCCAATTTTCATGGAAGCTATATAGGAAAATCTTGAAATGCACCTATCTCATGCAGGGCGCAAGATGATTTCTCTGTTCATTACTATTCCAAAAGGACTTGTTGCCCTTTGGAAATGTTCAGATATTACTTACATTTGTGTGTGCGTGCATACGTGTGCAGAGCTAACTTGCCTTTAGATTTGAGTGTTCTAAAAATAAAAATGTGTTGTTATTATCATTGACACTAGTCAGCTGAAAGGTAACTAAGGACCTGCTTACAGTGAGTGGAAGCAGGCAAATGCAAAAGGAGAAGCAGCACTGTGCTTTAGATGAGCAAATCCTACAGACTCAAGCACAAAACTTGTTTAAAATCACCCTTTTGTTTGATGCTATGATTAGCAGCCTTCTGACGGATTTGGGAGTAAAGCCAAGGCATTACTCTGAGAAACCAAACTGCACTTTTGCCTCTAGAAGTTATTTGTGTAGGTCAAGGTTATAGTACATTTCTAAAACCCTAGAAGAAAACATGTTCCTTTCCCTTATGACATCCTATGTTAACTCAAGCTTTTAACTCTGTGGGGGAGAGCGAGATAAAATCATAGAAATTATTAGCCAAAATGACCTTTCTGTTTAAAACCCGTCTGACAGGAAGGGAGTCTTTACTGCAAAATTGCCAGTCATAGAATAATTACGTTCTGAGGGGTTGCTAATTATAACCAAAAATTACTTTAAACAGTTTGGGGGAAGAGACTGAGACGTACTGCTTAGCATAAAGCAGTTTTATTTACGCATGTACAAAGTAGCTTACATCCCTACTACAGGATTAAACTAATTGCAATATTTCACTGTAAGTTGTTGTAAAAATTGTGTCATGCAATGGTGAATCAGAACTGCTAAGAAAAAAGAGGGTAAAATATAATTTTGCTTTTCATAATTTTTTGAACTCGGGCATTTCACATTGTAATTCTAAAAATAGCATTTTCCTTCTCTTTGTTTCTTAAACAGAATGGAAAAATTTCTTTCCACAGATCAGGCCTATCCAGTGACATTAACTTCTACCTTCAGTCTGCTCAGGTGAGTTCCCCAAGAATGTGTTAAAGACCAGATTCTTTTTTTCCCTATTTGTGGATATTGTTTTGCCTAAGTGAGTTTTGTTAACATAACTTTTTGCTTGGCAGATCTGTTTTTTCCCTGTTAAGATGGCCTAACGAGAGAGCATTGTGTTACAAGAGTGCATAGAATTACCAAGCTCCACGCGTATGTTACACATAACAGGAAAATTCATGACCCTATCAGATCCAAAAAATAGGCAATGAGTCCCATAAGGGCAGTAGTACGAGCCTTGTTTTAAAGATGATGAACCAGAGGCACAAAGAGGCTAAGCGACTTGCCTCAGATTGCCCAGAATACAAACTAGGAGACGAGAATTTTTGACTTGCGTTTTATTTTCAGACACAACTTTAACACCTATATGAAAGTAATTGCTATTTTGTTTATATGGGGTAGCCTGTATCCAGTTCTTTTTTTTCTAAAGTGCATTTGTCCTGTAGAGAGTATGTAGGGAATGTGCATGTACCCGTAAGTAGCATTCCACAGTTGAACTAATTGCCAGGCCAAGCGAGGGACCACAGTAAATGGGTGAATAATTTGATCCAAGATGGATTTGTACTCTACCAACACAGCTTGAAATCTTCTAATGCTTTTGGATTTGACTGTGAGCTGTTCATTGTTGTTTGAGCCTGTTCTTTTCTATTACCATATTTTCTCTGGATATCATTTCTGTGTTCCTTATCTTCGTATAAAAGGCCACATCTTTACCATATTTCCAGGGAGTAGTCAGTAGAAGTGTACAAAATTTACTGCCGTAGACCAAAATACGGCAGATAAAGGTAGTGCATTACAGAGTTCTTGCCCTCAATCATGCAGAAGGCTCTCTATGCTCCTGTGAGCAGTGGTACATATGTGGCTACACTGTAATGGGAGAAGGGTTAACAGCAAACCAAGACATTTTCTGCAGCAAAAGCAGAGGGAATCTTCTCTAAGCAATTACCTTTTATGTAATAAACAATGTCAGTGGTCAATAGAGGGAGTTTTCTTACCCTAATCCCCTTCCATTTAACTTAAACTAGAAATGCTATTAGTTGACTCGCAGGTTGGTGTATCG